AGAGATAAATTTGTTTATATTTCTATACTACTTCGCTTATGAACAGGCTAGTCAGACATTTTTCCATAAGATTGAATGGTCTGGCTATATCTTATTATTAACTGAAGAGAGTATGAATTAAGAATAAATTTGAGGTAAGAAAGGACAGGCTGAACCTTGATCTAAGATGATTCGTTCAGTCATATATAACCTTAAAACTCTATGTGCATACAATTATATATAACTTGGATACTTGAATATTTCAGAGCGACTAGGTTGAACAACCTAGTTATATGCCTAAGGAGGAGAAAAATTGTAGTGCCCTGTGTTTGTGTATATTCAATGGTTGAGCTAGACAGGTTTCCATAAGATAGGATGTTCTAGCTTTACGCCTTATGTAAGTTGGGTTCAATGAATAACACATTGAAAGACTACAAACTATTGTTTGACGAAGTTGATTTGGGGCTGGTGAGAGTGTTTATCATTGTGGCTTGGCTTTGCATATGGCTGTGTGAAATCACTACTTAGCCTGAGTTTCAGTTTGATAGGTAGTTGTTTTAGATGCTCGCCACGTACTAGAGTTATAAGAGTTAGTTTCAATTCTTGCATTTTTCGACCTAAGTTTATTTTACTTACGTCAAATTCTATAATTTGTGGGATTTTTTGTTATACTTGGTCCCGTATAAATCTTGGTAAGACACTTTCTCTACGGGAAAGAGTTGCCAAAATTTCTACAAAATCAAGAAGTTCGTTAGATTTTGACTTTTCAAAGTTCATCTTGTCTAAATTTCATATCTGGTTTAGTAAAAATCTAAAAAGTCTTCTTTCTAAAAGGAAGTGCCGCTCAAATTTTCACTAATTCAGAGAGTCATACAAAATTGGACTTTGGAAAGTCAAAGTTATTTCTAGATTTTTAGACAGCTTTGTATAAATTTCGAAAAGTTATTTTCTCTACGGGAAGTCCTGCCGAAATTTTTACAAATCTAAGGAGTTATTTAAATTTGGTCCTAACAGAACTCAAGTCCGACTTTGAGTTCTTATCTGACTTAGTATAAATCTGGGAAGTCTACTTTTATAAAGGAGATGCTGCTCAAAATTTTACTAATTCAGCGAGTTAGACAAAATTTGACTTTTTTCGAGTTAGATATTGTTTCATTTTTCAAATTTAAGCTAGTATAAATTATGAAAAGGTACTTTTCTTACGGAAAGCGCTGCGAATTTTTTTTTAATTTAGAGGACATAAAATTATATTTTGACGGGTGACGATACTGACAATCCACTCTGTATGGGGAAAATTATGTCAAAGGTCTACCTTTCTTTGGACATTTGACTTAGAGGAAGAATCAGACTTAATTGGCAGACAACTTTGAGTAAGAATGTGCTATGGAGATTTATTTTTCATACAATGATGATTTAGCTTCGTCATTGACCTGTCTTATAATACAGGTCTCTTTGATCATTCTAACTCAAAATTGGGCTAGATTCAGCTTGATCCCACGAGGATCATCTTCTGTTATCACTGATAACAGGTCAGTTGTTAAGTCGTCGGTCTACGACTCAACTCCAATTCATTCTCGTTATCCAACCTAAAAGGTTTTTAACCCTGGTGGTTTTTATTATTTTATCAAGATTTTCACCCAAACGTTTATTGAATGATCATTTAACAAAAATACTTAGTATTTGTTTTGGACGGTTGGACAAAGGTTGGGGCTTGCATGACTAAAGCAAGGGGTATGAGTATAGGGAAGGGTTAAAGTTGATCCTGTATAGTGTGTAGGCTTTTGGTTGATTCCTTGATGTGATTGCTTGTATGTTTGTGGTTCAGACTTTGAATTTGACTATTTGCAAATACATTTCATGTATTGCTGAGAGGAGCCTCACTGTGACTGTGAGAAGTGATCGTCCTATTTTTAATAAACCTTATTTATATGTATATACATCTCTATGCTTGAGTGTTCGCATGGTTTATAGTGCCCCGTGTTTAAGGTTTAATTGGGGTTGAGATTGAGAGAGGAAAGGAGACTCCCATTTTTTCACTGTTTTGTTTTTTAATACTTTTTGACCGGACAATGGTCCTAGGCCTGGATTCGAGGTCCTTGCCAAGGACACCCCAGGTCCTAGACTCTGCGCGGAAGGGATCACCCCCCGCGCAGAGCCTATTTGCCCTGCCCACCGGGACACTCAGCCTAAGGGCCGAAGGTGCCGCGGGGGCCGAACGGATGTTCTTTCAGCCGTGCAATATCGTGAAGAGTTTTACCCTCACGATACTTTGAGATTGACACTTTAGTGTCATAAGCGGTACTCAGATCCACAAAGGACTGCTTGATTATGGGCACTACATAGTACGTCATCATTGCGATTGCTTGTGTATTCATGCATTGCTAGTCGATATAAGAAGGTCATGCGTCCACGCGGTTTTATACTAAGTCTCGCGCGAGACGCCTACCCAATTTCCACATTGGAAGGTTATGGGATGTTTACTAAAGGGACTAAGATTGTGTTGTGTTGTTTTGTGTCGTTTCGTGTGTGTGTGTGTTTTATTTTTAAACGTGTGGTATGTGGAAAAAATAAACACAATGATTGATTTTTTTTTTTCATTGTACCTCGCGTTGGCGTTATCCTGTTGTAGGGGCTCGTGGGAAGTATGGGTGGTGCACTCGGCCGGAGCGGCTTGCGGAGACTCCATATGTATCGCGATGAGGTAGACCAACTCCTGCATGACACGGTCGGGAGGGTCCCGCACTGCGCAGGTGCGATGTGCTCGACATGTGGCGTCATTGTTGGGGATAAGGTCGACTACCGTTGTCCCTGGTGGAACGACATCCGGGTACGAGAGAATGAAAAAATAGGCATGTGAGGAAATTTTGTATGACTTATAAAGATGACTATGCGAAGTTACGATTAATAATTACTGTATATTTTAATTTGATTGATTGTCTATTTGGTTATTATGGATAAAGCATATACTCCCTTAGGATGTAAAGGAAGTTTGTGAGAAGGATAAGTCGGTCGAGGTAAGTTAAGAAAAGAGAGAAGGGATAGTGCCTGGTATGTTTGGATTATGATTAAGCTAAGTAGGAAGTCAGGTAAGCAGTATGGTAGGTCCGCTTGTTGAATGAAGTTTTTACCTTTTCTTAATAGGAATAAACTTGAATAAAGAGACTTGTCAAAACGGCCGACGGACTGGCGAAAGGATTGACCATTGATGACATGGTTGAAGCCTTGGACATGCGAGAAAAAGCGCAAAGCAATGTCCCGAAAGTTGACACTTTCCATTTCAGAGGAGAACGAGTTTCGTAATGGTTAGAGTTGGTCAACCAGGCAGTGGTGGGTTTGTCAGATGCAGTGAAGTTCCAACGTATTCCGAAGTATATACTTCATGGGCTTCACAAGGAGATAGAAAAGGTTATAGTTGCGACCAATGGTAGTTGGGTCAGGTTTAAAGATGACATGTTAAGGAAGTACAAATTGGGCGATGGGTTGTTGACCGTGGCGGACCTAGAGGCCATGAATAGGGATGACTTTACCACTGTTGGGGCTCGCAGAGAAGAATTTAAGAAGAAGGCAAGGAAGGTCCCAGAGATTTCAGAAGAGGCACAATGTGCTATTTTCCTAGGGTTGTTCAACGATTCGGAGGCCCAGCAATTGACAAAGCGGGGAGGAGGTAGTGAAAAGCTCACCTGACCACGATCGACAAAGGTATAGAAGAGGGAGATTTGGACCAAGTGGAGCAGTATCAAATGCACCAACAGAGGCGAAAAAGGAAGGAGCGTGATACAACTGCCTCAGGGACTCCAGAGGTAAGAAGGATTATCACAGATGTACTCGCATAGCTAGGCTATGGCAAAGATACCTGTGATACGGAAGAAAGTGGTAACCACGGTCCAAAGGAAGGGAAAAGAGTTGGTGGTTGAGGAAGCTATTCTAGAAGAGTGGGAAAAAGAGGAGTCGGTGCCACAACATCTCGTAAAGGTGCAACGCAAACAACGCAACTTGACACAAGGAGGATAAGGCTTCGGGAAGGGGCAAGCACCTCAAGCGTTGGCAGTGACCTCTTCAAGCGCAGCAACGCCATCGACTAGTGTGGGACCTTCTCAAGCAGGGCCACCACCATATAGACAATGACCATGGCCTATTTTTAACACCTTCGTACCATGGGGCGGCCAGGTTCCGCAGGGACAGATAATACCTTACTCAGGACCTCAAGCGAGTATGCCGCCGCCAAGCTACTCTGCAGTAAGCCCAACCGAATGGCACCACCTCTGTCGCCCGAACCGCAAAGTTCGCAAGCTAGCGTGGCGGGGGGGGGGGAATCAAGGTCAGGGCAATCAAGGGAATCGAGGAAGAGGCGGCGGAAGAGGGCGAGGTAGAAACGGCGGAGGCCGAGGGGGTCAGTGGAATAACCAAGGTTACCAAGGTCAGGATAACCAAGGTGGCCAGGGAGGAGGTCAAGGATATGGAAGAGCTCGTTTCGATTGGCGGAATGCTATCTACCGACATTGCGATAAGCAAGGCCATACAATACGTTTCTGCAACAAGAGACAGGAAGATGAGCAGGCTGGACTAATCTATTCCAACATGGGTGGGGATATATACGATCAGTTCGGCGAGTACATTGATCCCAAGGTCTCGGGCGGAGTAAGGGAAGAGGCCCTCAGACAGTTAGCCGCGGGGCAGGCACCGCCAACCATGTTTAGGTTGTGGCAAGAAAAGGAGGACCCACCTGTGAAAGTGAAAGAGATGGGGGAGAATGTGGAAGTGATCCAACGGCCACGAGCTAGGATCCTAAGAGATGAGCCTATAATTATCGAGTCATATGAAGAGGACTCTAATGAAAAGGTGGACCCTGCGTCGATCCTCCTAAGAAAGATGGAGGACCTATGAGAAAAAATGGGGAGGTACCAGCGAAAGTTGGTAGGCATATGTGAGGAAGTAAGAGATTGAAAGGCAAATCTCCCTAAGGTTTTCCTCTATGAGTCTGGTCCGGAATCGGTGCCATCACGACAAGGGTACCCTAGAGTGGCGACGGTAGGGTCAGACCCAGGGTCCGGTATGACCTATAGGCCTTATACAGTGCAGGGGAGAGCAACAATGGCAGCTCGAACTAGGGGCCAAGCCAAGGTGAGTGCTAGCCAGGAACCTCCTCGAAAAGAGTCTGAACAAGAACGAAGGAAAGAGGCTGTGGAGGTTGAGAAGGACGATGACGAAGATGAGGAAGACAAAAGGCTCCATCAGGAAGAGGATAGGCGAGCAAAGCAGAGGGCTAAAAAGAGAGGAGCCCAAGAAAAAAAGGTCGAGTCAATTTTGCGCGATGTAGCGCCGAAGAAAAAGAAGTATGCAGTTCGGTTGGACGAGGGTTTTGACATGGAACGGATGGTTGATAGGTTGCTTGAGGGTCACAATGACCTCATGAACCTAAACGATATCCTGGTCTCTGCTCCGCGACTCCGTGATGGGCTGAAGGGTAGATTGTCGCGACGGGTTGTGCCAAACGTCCATCTTAGTATGATCCTGCCGAAGGAAGCAGAATGGGCAGAGGCAGGGACTAAGATGGACTGGAAGTATGTGGCCTGCGAGATGGTGGACTTAGTGGTGAAAGGATTGAAGTGCACGGCGATGTTAGATACTGACGCAAAAATGAATATTACTAGGGAAGCTGATGCACTTAGGCTAGGGATGGAGGTAAACCGCTCAGACTGTGGCATCTTGCATGGTGTCAATTATAAGGCGGTGTTTTGTGGGACGACTTCAAATGTGGTCGTCGAGGTTGGCAAGGTGAAGGCAATGACGTGTTTCTTTGTCATGCCTGATGTGGATCATGCCATCCTTTTGGGAGATCGTTCCTATGCAGGACAGAGACCTTAATCTTCAACAAACACGATGAAACGATCATCTTACTCCTGTGTGACCCTGCATGTGGGAACTACGAGATTGTGACCTGCAGGAATACAAAACTTCGGAGCATAAGGAATAGGCCCAACCCTAACACGTTCACGATCGAGGAATCCGAGAATGAGCGCAGGAAGCTTCTCGAAGAGCCAGAGGAGGAAGAGAGGGCGGAAGTGCTTTCACTCAGTTTATCTGATGTAAATAAGGTGATGGATTTAGTGGTCACTCATGAGATCGCAGATCCTGAGGCTGTTCAGGCACTGAGAAAACAGGTTTTGGAATACCCTCAGGTAGGAGAGGTGAAATTAGTCTATCGTCTTCCGATTGGAAGAAGGGACCCTGCAATAGTGCAGGCGCAAACAGTAATCCGACCTTTTTTTTTAGGGGACGGCTCAAGCAGGGTTCCCAAAGGTGGTACAAGACCATAGACAAGAAGTGTCGTCCGGTTCTCATTCTTGTTACAGAAGATGAAGAAGCTTACTATGAGCGGGAACGTGGATTGATACGGCGGATGAAGGAGCAGGCCGCGATTGAGCCATGTCGTACCAACGAAGGGAACGAGGAGAAGCTGATAGTGGGAGAACCTGGATTCCTGTCACCCAGGAAAGAGCTTTAATGGTGGAGTTAATGAAGAAGAGGCATCACGCATATACCTTCAATGATGATCAACGCGGAAGGTTGGATGTGAACAAGATTCCGATGATTCGGATCCATACCATACCGCATGAGCCATGAAATTTGAGAGGCGTGCGATACCCCAATCCTAACAAAGAAAAAAAGGTGGTGAACTATCTGGACGGCAAGGTGCGTACGCATGTCGCCAACTATTCAAGCGAGCCGTACACATCCTCGTGGTTTTGCTTTGTCGAACCTAACGGGACGTTGTGGTGGATCCATGACTTGCTACGACTTAACATGGTGACTGTGCGAGATGAGGGAGGGTTGCCGAACGCAGACGCGATATCAGAATCGTGTGCGGGAAGGCCTATAATATCACTTATAGACCTTTATTCTGCGTATGGTCAGTTTCCTGTATATCCGCCGGATAGGCCAGTGACAACGATGCATACACCTGGGGGGCTAATCCACATGAATGTGGCCCCTCAACGATAGACTAATGCAGTGGCAATGGTTCAGAGGCATATGGTCCAGATCATGCAGATAGTTAGTTCACACATCACCCAACCATATATTGATGACTTGGCAGTAAAAAAAACAAAGGAGAAGGAGGAAGATGAACTTATGCCAGGAGTAAGGCGTTTTGTCTGGAAGCACCTTCAGGACCTTGACAAAGTCTTGAATTTGCTAGAGGAACATAACCTTACGGCAAGTGGAGCCAAATCCAGACATTGTATGAGGGAAACTACCATCTTGGGGTTTGTTTGTAACGAGAATGCCCGAAGACCACATGTGAAGAAGAAGGATAAAATTATTGAATGGTCAGTATCTTTCCATTCAATAACAAATGTTAGAAGCTTCCTAGGCACGTGTGGATTTTGAAGAAGCTTCATTATAAATTTTGTTGTCAGGATGGAACATTTGAGAAAGCTGGTGCGTCAGGATCAGGAATGGGTTTGGGGCGAGGACCAGGTAAGGGTTGTGGCAGGAATGAAGGCGGAGTTCAAAGAAGGATGTTTAGTATTGGGGGCGTCGGACTATGAGGCCACAGAGGAGAGACATTTTATCATTGAAACAGACGCTGGACCAACTTCCTTTGGAGGAGTCCTGATCCAGGCAGATGCTGAAAGAAAGGAGAGACCATTAAGGTTTGAGAGTCGAACTCTTAACACAACTGAGAGGAACTACTCCCCGTTTAAGAAGGAGGCTCTCGCTGTCCTTCACTGTTTAAGGATCTTACGGAACAATATTTTTGGCAGAAGGTTTATATTGAGAGTAGACCCAACTACGCTTGCTTGTTCATTGAAGAATTACACTCCATCGGACCCAACGGTTGCTAGATGGTTGACATATATTTGGATGTTTAATTTTGAATTGGAGAGGATTTCAGGGAGCAAAAATAGAGCGGATGGGCTAAGTCGCATCAACTGGGATAAGCCAGAAGAAGGAGCGGTGGAAGATACACCTCCAGTTGATGGTTTTTTGAACGAAGAGGAGGATGTTCGTCTACATATCAACAAATGGTCCCTGTGAGTGCCAAGTTGTGTTGGTCACCCTATATGGTTAGCACCACGAGGGTACGAGCAGAAGGCAGAGTTAGTACTCAAACCTTTTGAGGAAGAAAACTCATGGGGTGGTAAGGATGTCCAATGGATGGTGAAGTTGGCACTGACAGGTACTCATAGTCTGGTGGAGGAGGTAAGGACGATAGAAGAAGGACCGGATCAGGTAGAGAAGCATGAAGAACTGCTGGGGGGAATGTATCTCCTCACCAATACGCTTCTGCAGGGGAACTTTGATCAAAGAGGCTCGCTGAATCCGGTTGAGGGCGAAGATATAGTGCCAGAAAGCCAGAATGACGGGTTTGCGGAAGGAGAGATCAAAGAAGCGTTCCGTGCAGAAGAGTACGATGGGATCTACCTGGAGCTAGAACTTCTTCTATCATGCGAGATGAGGGATACGGATGCGAGTGAGAAGGCTCAGAAAATGAGACATCTCTATCTGGTAAGGGATGACGATCTCTTCGTAAAGAAGCAAGTGGGGAATCCAGAGGGGTTATGTGCGGAAAGAATTGCTAAATTGATATTATAGCAGCGCTTCATGATGACATTGTTGGGGGACATCGAGGAATTAATGCCATATATGCCAAATAAGCGAGCTATATTACTGGGATGGAATGTTGGAAATGGTCATTAAGTTTTGTCGGTACTGTGTGCCTTGTCAAGAGAGATTGCCTCAAAAGCCAGGAGAGTCACTGCATCCAAGACTAGAAAGGGAAGTGGGTGCCGTAATATATCTCGATTTACTATTCATGTCGCTTGGATATCATGGCTATAATTACATCTTTGAATCACGGGACAACCTTACTCGCTTTGCAGATGGTCGAGTCATTCGTATAAAGATCGGTTCGGTTCTGGTAAGCTGCATCGAAGAATACTATCTCCGTTATCCCTTTGTCAAGGAGTTCATGATGGACAAAGGATCAGAGTTTACCTGTTTGGAGGTGCAAGAGTTGTTATAAGGGTATGGCATGGTAGCTAACTATACCACGGCCGCCCACCCCCAAGCAAATGTTCCAGTTGAAAGAGGACATAGTACCATCACTAGCCTTTTGGCTAAGTGGACTGAAGGTAAGCCTAATCAGTGGCCAATATATCTGAGAGCAGGTTCTTTGTCGAAAATATTACGGTAAAAAAAAACACAAAGTACGTGCCGGCCACGCTATGGTACGAGAGGCACGCTACTTTCCCAATTGAAAGCTTCCTGAAAACCTGGAGACGCCATGATTTAGAAACCAACCTGTCTTTTGAGGAGTTACTCGATATTCGGGCACGACAGGTGAGTGTGACTGAGGAAAGAATTCATGAGGCATCCAGACGGGTGGAAAGGAGTCGTATGGATGATAAGGCTCGTTGAGACCAAATGGCGCGCGTACGGAAGACACCTTTGGCAGTGGGGGATGTTGTATTGTTATATGACTCATCCCTAGAGAAACAGTGGTCCAGGAAGCTCGACAAGAGATGGTTAGGGCCATATTGGATTGTACGATGCGGAGATTTTGGCGCCGACCAGATTGAAGAGATAGACGGGACAAAATGGAAAGATTGGGTGTCAAGAACGAGGCTTAAGAAGTTTGTGGTGCGAGAAGAGGTAAGATAAACATTCTAAGTTCCCTACGATAGGATTCCACCAAGACGGAGAGTGTCCTCTAAGTTAAGTCCTATATAAAGTGTGATGATAGAATGTATAGATAGGGTGTATATATTTTGTTTGATTTAGACTTGCTCTATTTCACCTGTTTGCTTACCCCATTGTGTGTCTATTGTCTCCTTTGCCTGTTGTGCAGGTCTGACTTTACAAAGACAGCCATGCCGAGGGGAGGAAAGGAGACACGGCCACCATAGAGGTCATTGGGGGCATCAGGGGGATATGAGCGCCATGGGTCTTCCCAGAGAGAGCATACATCAGTTTATGATGATAGAGATATAAATCTCTTCCTGGACGACTTTCGGAGTCATGTATATCAGAGGAGGTGGACCGTATCGGAGATGATACGGAGATTGGGAGGAGCGGGGCTGTTTGAGGAGCCTATTGCACAGATCCGTCAGGAGGCTCAGACTTGGCAGGAGGTGGAGACAAGGATGCAGGCCTTGAGGCCTTCGCCAGTGGGGGCAGATGGTATACCGATCCGCCTGGAGGTTGGGAATGTTGAGGAGTTCATCCCTGCATTCGAGAGGTTCATGCACGAGCAGGGGATACAGAGGGATGAGTGGATGCAGACGCTGCCGTTATAAACTAGGCGGGCGGAGAAGCCATTAGCCCGAGAAATGCGAGATAGGGCACGTGATTGGGATGGCTGCAGAGCACATTTGAGGGAGGCCTTTCGACAGCCTGAGTCAGTACCACCCCAGCCCAGGGTCGAGAGGTGACAAAGGAGTAAGAGATAAAGGGACCCTCAGCCTAGGGAAGCTGCCCCAACTCGAGGAGGACAGAAGGCGCTTGCCCGACAAGATGAGGAGGCGGCACAGCCTGCGCAGGAACGAGGGATGTATCCTGAGTGCGGGCTTGGACAAGTGGTCTTCCAGCGGTTCACTGAGGGAGGATTGCGAGAGTCCCCTCAGCCGGCGCCAGAGGAGGCAGTACCGATGGGAGGGTCTCCACAGAGCTAGAGGCACATTTGGACATTTCGCAGTGGAGGGTGCCACAGGCCAGCGAAGATCGAGAGGCATGACCTAGTATCCAGGGTGAGCAGTGAGCAGAGGAGGTGATTGAGATTGAAGATGATACTCCTCCTCAGTTGCCAGTTCCTGTACCAGGACCTTAGCCAGAGCCAAAGGGTGTTCAGGAGGCAGGGGAGGAACTTCAACATGTAGAAATTGCACCATCTCCTCCAGATATGACTCTTTCACCAGGGGTGAGAGTGGAGATGGAGCAGGAGGAGAAAGGCTGGAGGAGAGAGGCTCTTTACACGGTCGATAGATATCTGGCGGCACATGCCCAGGAACACTCTGACCTCGGAGAACCCCCATCCACTGCTGAGGAGAAGAGAGTCGGGACTGGCAGGCGTTTGGAGGAGATATGACAAGAGAGGCAGAGATTGGAGGAAGCAAGGGCACTCCCAGACCAACCACCATATGTACCGCCTAGAGTCCTTGGAGTCTCTTAGATGTGGAGAGATTTTTGGGGTCAGAGAGAAGAGGGACTCACTACACCAGAGAGAGCGGGGCTCGAGACAACGAGGTTGGCTGGCGAGAGTTTGGATCGCAGGATCCGCTTTCTGGCCAAGACGTCTTTCCATAGGTATTTGATGTTGGAAGACGATCTAGCTGGAAGGAAGATAAAGGAAGTAAGTCAGGGAGTACATTTGGAGGCAGCAGAGGCAGAGATCTGTGAGCTCAGGGCGCAGACGCCAGCCAGGCCGTTACCATCCAGGAGATGAGATGACAACTTCAGGATATGGCAGCGAGGATAGAGAGGGACGCACCTACTAAGGTGGTAGATTGGACTGAGAGCAGTCGTTATGGCATCCAAAGAGAGGCAGTGCAGGGGTTGTTTGGGCAGCCGTCTACAGCAGGTTCGTCCCAGAAACCATCCATGGGGAAGGTCATCTTGGAGTCAGAGGAGGCAAAGACAAAGAGGAAGGCAGGGAAGGAGGTCTTTGAGTTCAAGGCACCTACAAAGCTTGCCACTCAACCTATAGTTTCTTCAAAGCCAGCGACAAAGTCCCTACCAGTACAGGCTGGAGATAGACCACAGAGAGCTACCAGCGAGCCTGCACTTGGGTCGGATGAGGGTTCCATGGATGTACTCCTCGAGGCGGTCAGTACTATGCAGGAAGGAGCATGTGCATTTATGCTTGAGCAGAGAGTGGCGACATTTCGAGAGGGAGAGGTAGTGGTTGCGATGGAGAGTGTCTACGAGGGCACACAACAAAGGTTAGATACACCTTAGTACAGGCCTGAGGGAGTTGGGATACGGATAGAGCCGAGTACTCAGGAGTTGGAGGCTAGACCTGAGGAGTCTATGGGTATGCCCCAGTGTTATGAGGTGGCCAGAGAGGTCAGTGAGGCACCTTCATCGTCAGGATCTCAAAAGAAGAAGAAGAAGAGAGACCGAAAATCAAATGGCTTCTCCTGCTTCTTTTGCAATAAGAAGGAGCATAGAGCCTTGCAGTGTCCTAAGTTTTTGAAGGACAAGGCAACAGGGAAAGTCACTGAGAGTGGTGGACAGGGTAGGGTGGTGGAGAGGACTGCTAATGGGGGTAGAGCGCAGTTATGTAGGCAAGACCAGGAGGGGATGAGTGAGTAGGGACTGGTTCGCCTATATGTTGTCTAGTCATTTTTATTTTCTTAGCTTACGTAAGAGTTAAAACTTTTTATTTTCTTCTCTTATTTTTGATTGCTAGGTTTAGATTTTTGGTTCCTACGCTGTTTGGTTGTACAGGTGGGGTTCACAGCGGATGCCTACTATTAAGGATTTCAATAGTGATTTGAGATTTTGGGTTCAATGATGTGACATATGTACAGTGAGACTACTTTTCTTCCGACTCTTGAGAGTCAGAACCAACTCTGATTTTGAGTACATTTTTGGTGGTGTGTTTGTCTTTGTACTATATTAGGAGTGATTTTGCTCAGTCTAACGAAAACTATGAGATTGGACCATTATTTGTATTTTGAATGAGATATCCCATCCCTGAGTGTATATTGAATTGAGGTTTTGTCTTAGGTTATTTATTGTATATGATGATCACAATCACTCTCACATGTGTGGTTTTATCCTGATGTGAACTGTCTACTCGTGTGTTTTGCATTTTGTGAATGTGAATGTATGTGAATTGTCTACTCTTCAGTATACTCGCGCGGTCTGCTCATCGGCAGATGATAAGGCCAGGTATAAGGGGAGGAAGTGAAGTCTGTTTTTGTGAAGGTTGTGAAAATCCTAAAGGATTTATGAGTCTTTGAGACTCGAACGCTTTACCATGCCGAATGTTTATTGTTGTGTTGTGACGAGGACCCATAAGTTGGTCTCTGAGTGGTTTTATGGTTGAGACACCTTTAAGAAGGAAGGTGGTTATTTGTTCATTTGGAGACTCATCTTCAGTAGAAGTTGTTTTAAAAAGCTCGTGTGAAAGTTTATCATAGAGAGAGAGCAGAGGTCGCCAAACCAATTTTTTATCCCACCCACATCCGACCCAATCCAAGCCTTGATATATCATATCTACCCGCACCCAGTGCCACCCACGCAAAAAAATTTTTTTTTACCTTGACCCAACCCACCCAAGCTAATTAAACATTTTCATACCCGTACCCAGCCCACCTAGCATCCGCAGCGGAACCCTTACCCCTACCCAGCCACACCCACCCCTAGATTTAATCCACCCGCATCCGCCCGCACCCGCGAACAATTTTCATCCACCCGTGCCCAGCCGTATCCATGCCCAAAGTTTACCAGGTGGCCAGCCCGTGCAAGGACCAGGGAAGGTCCCAGCAAAAAAAAAAAAAAAAAAAAAAAAACTATGTTATGCAGAAAAATAAACTGAACAACTTTTGCCTCAGAATCACATCGAAATTCTTCACCAATCTTAAAATAAAAAATAAAATTTAAAAATATGTTTTTTTTTTTGTTTTTTTTTAACTTTTTTGGCCTGGTCGGGCAAGTGACCCCGGGCCACTCTGGTAGCCTAGCCCAGCATGCATTTCTTTTTCTCGTAATTTTAAACTCAGGTCAGTGTCATTGCATGTTAGAAATTAACTTTCCATCCACAAACTACCGCACTCACCATAACTTTGTTTGGAATTCGATAACACATTCAAAGTTTTCAAACACTTAAAGTCAATTTTGTGAAAACGACAAGCATATCAAACATTTCAACGATATGCAAAGGTGAGTCAAGGAACTTTTTTCCCCCCTTAAAAAAGGCCAAGTGCCCAAGGCTTGCGTCGCACGTTACAACATTCGAATTTTGTGCCACATATCTAAAAAAACTGCATAACCCCGAGAGAGAGGCATTGATTGTTTCCCCCCAAAGGAGAAGGTTTGACCTCCTCTCACATTCTCCAAGGAACTTTTTTTCCCCCTTAAAAAAGGCCAAGTGCCCAAGGCTTGCATTACAAGTTACAAAATCCGAATATCGTGACACACAATGTCACACATCCACTACAAAAACTGCATAACCCTGAGAGAAAGGCATTGATTGCTTCCCCCGAAAGGAGAAGGATTGACCTGCTCTCACATTCTCCTAAACCATGTCCTTTTTTTCTGATTGACGTCAAATTCAACCTATTTATGCATAACCTATTTCAAAATGTAATTCCTCTCTACTTCCTTAAACCAGGTCCATATTTGACCGCACAAATAAAACATCATTTACCACAGATGGATTCAACATGGAGCGCTTCTTAGTAATCGTATTGCCAGCATCTGAGAAATTACATTCGCTTTTGGAGCTGGATGCTGGCACGCACAAAACTACACGGGCTGCTCGAGACATGATTAGCAAGGCAGGCTTGAGCACCATCTGATGAGAAGTAGAGGTAGTGGCTTCGGTTATCCCCCTTGCCTTCCACCATTGCAGGAGGTCGAAGTCGCGTCTCTCTTCTTTGGTAAGTTTGAGATCGAAGTAAATATCGATCTCTTGTTGTTCTCGTTCTGGTGCAGTCAAAGGTGCAACTTTTGCAGGTCCACTTGTGTCATCTTCATCATCATCTGAGTTGTCTAGAGAAGGGGCACCCAAATCGACCCTGCGCCGTTTGGATGGCGGATGAACGTCAAGGACGTGCTGATTTTCTGAACAATCACTCTCACAACCTGCGAGGMTCAACATGATTTTCTTCAGTTGATTCTTCCCCCGCTTGACGTCAAAACAAACAACGTCAAAATTTTCGAGCCGATCCTTTTGTCGAGGATCGAGAAGCGCTGCAACAACATGCAGGTCCTCTATCGGCCATTTCTCTATCATAACCTCCTTAACCAAATTCTTGATCACCTTGAGGTTGTTGGAATCCGGTGGGATGACAACCTCATTTCCACTGTCATCAACTGTTTTCACTGCTTGTGTTCGAACATGACAGTGGCGAAACAAAGAATGTCGTTCAAAAATGACAAGGTGCAAGGTTGAGTCAAGGAACTTCTCAAGCTTAGGAGTGGCTTCCTGGAAACGACTAAGGAATCGAGACAACTCAATCAGCAAATCACGGTCAATGTTGGCCATCATGCCAAGACGGTTGCGCTGCATCAAGATGTTGTTCACATCAACATAATTAGTTTTCACACTGTCCAGCAACCTCAACAGTGAGTTCCATCTTGTTGCATTTTCCTGTTTTAGTGACGTTTTCAGAAAATTTTGCAAATTTGCCTGCTTGAAATAACGAACCAATTCCTTGTAATTCTCAATCAGCGCAAAAATTTCAGTTGCCTGATCTTCGAATCTGTAGAACGGAGCAGATCTGACACTGTTCTGAACAGCGGTGGTTTTGTTCAGAACAGTTGTCAAAACCGTAGCTATCTTGTGATCAGCACAAGCATGCCACTTGTACACACTCCTAATGCCCTCTGCACCTGCTACATTTGACCCACTGTCTGAGCACACCATGCAAAGACTCTGATCAAAACATCCATGTTCCTCAAGACATTCTTGGAACACCTTCAAAACAGCCTGTGCAGTGTGTGACTCTTCAGGAAAAACCTTAACCTGAAGAGTTCTAGCATGCAGTTTGAAGCCTCTGTCTATATAATGGATGGTGCCCGACATGAATGAGTTTTTTTTAACTGCATCAGTCCACAAATCCACTGTGAAACCAGCATACACGTTATCCTCGAAGTGCTGAGACACTTTTTCCTTCACAGTTTGTCGAAGACCATTCGCAATGGAAATTACATGGCGCTTTACCGTGTTTGCAGAAGGAGCTAACCTTCCCACTTTCATACCCTTTTGCGCACTGACATCGACATCGATAAAAAATTGACCCATTTTCAGGAAACCTGGATCATCCACAATAGAAAATGGACGCAAATCCTGACAACACATCAGAACCGCCATCTTTGCGGCCTGTTTCTTTTGCGCAGTTGTTGGTTCTGCTGTCATCGCAAAAATTCGCATTGTCCCTGTTTCACCTTGCTAAGCTCTACATTTGTGCTGGTTCAACGAGCTTGTTCCGTTAGCAACAGCAAATGCATACACCGCAAAACACTTTCTGCATGCGGTGTAACCAGTTCTATGTTCCTTCACAGGAGTTCCGTCAGGCAAACATACATGAGCAAATCGTGCCCAACATGGCGCTGTACTAACCTTCTCATTCTTGAGAATGTACAGTGGGTCAGGACCAACTTTCTTCAGTGCAAGGTGCATTGTGGCCTTCAATTTTGCCATTTCTGTTTTCAAAGAAGGGCTTGGCGAACCACCTACAGGTCCTACACCTTTCGACATTTTCTGGATATCCGCTAGGAGGAGGAAGGAGGAGATCGAGTACGAGGAAAAAAGGGAGAGGAAGACCGGAAAGAATAGGCAGAAGAAGCACACACGGTTCATGCACAGCAAAGAAAACAGTTGGCTTGTGGATTCAAATAAAACAGTTGGCTTGTGGATTCAAATAAAACATGCAGCCGTTGCCGAAGGTCTTCTTGGAGTGAAGATAGTTATGCATGATCATGCCACGATCACGAGCGTCAGCAGATCCTTCCGACAGCTCCCTCACGCATGTATTGCAAACAACATTTCTCTCTCTCTCTCTCTCTCTCTCTCTCTCTCTCTCTCTCTCTCTCTCTCTCTCTCCAACAGCATTTGAAAGATTGGATCTAACCAGAAAACGACCTAATAATGACCGTTCTGCTCGTGCATCATAGTATATCTGGACTTTAACAGATACGGAGTACAGCGATCTTCACGAAAAGGCAAGGGACAAAAAAATATGGATATTCTTATTATTCTACTCTGTGTCGAACCTGACTGCTGCTTGATCCCGCATTGAACAGTACGAAAAGTATAGACGGAAAAGAAAAAATAAGAAACTGGTCCACAAGTGTCACGTTCAAGATCACAAAAGAGATGTAAAAAAAAAAAAAAAAAACGGCCCTGTTTCACCTTGCTGAACGGACGTTGGCATCCGAAATCAGGAGATCATCGACTGGGCTGGTGGAGCCCACCGAACGTTGGCATATGTTGTATTTGGGGGAAGAAGGTAGGCAACACTTTTCCCAAAATCGTCGCCCAGCTGATTCTAAGGGCATACTCGCACTTGAGACTTTCCTGGATGAATCTTACCGCAATTACAGCCTGACTTGGAAGTATCTGACTGCAATTACGTCTTGATGCTACACCTCAGCCGAGCGAGGCCTACTGTGAGTATGCTCTAAGTGTTGTATCATAGCCATCTTCACCTGTCCATAAACACGTCCAGATTCAGGCTTTAAATCCAATGATGGCGGCAATGGTGCTGACTCTCACAATCTCATGACCATCTTTCCTTGTTATGCCTACCGTTCTCCCCCGAATACAACGTACGGTCATTATAGCTGCATTTGGACCAACTTTCAGTCTGGATACAACCATAATAACCGTATATTCTATTCGGGAGAAGAGGGTAGGAATCACCGAACCTCGCAACCTCTCGATACCGATCCTCGCAACCTGATTATCGAACCTCGCAGAATGACTTTTTTTTTTTCGTTTCAACAGAAAGGCAGCTCACCGAGCCTCGCAACCTCTCGCTACCGAACCTCGCAACCTGATTATCGATCCTCGCAACCTGCTTATCGAACCTCGCAACCTAATGATTGACTTGAGACGTGCTGATCTGATCTAACATTGTTTTGTTTTGTTTTTTTCAAGAAAGAAAAACTCCTATCATTACTAGCGGGGAAACGAGCCCGGAGTCCCTCACAGCTGTGTTGCTATACCACTGAACTGGTGAATGCCTACCGCAGGGGGAACACCCATGAACTGTTGAAACACATACTGATACTGATAATGAACGGAAATTCTACTCGTTCATTAGCAACGTATCTAGACTCAAACATGCATCAAATACAGTTATCTTCAGAAAAAATACAGAAAAAGAAGATGGGCGTTCAACTCTCTGCTGCTTGATCGGACCTTCAAGTTTACCATAAAAAATAGGAAAAAAAAAAAATTGCAAAGAAGACAAATAGGAAAAAAAAGAAAAAACAGACTACTCTATCGTCAGATTCGTCACCATCAAGATTAGTTGGGGAAAAAAAAAAAAAAAACTGCTCCTAGATTGCTGCTCGATTCAAACCTGGAAGGTTGTCGAAGGTGGGCACAAAGTTCAGGCTCTCTCTCCCTCTCTCTCTCTCTCTCTCTCTCTCTCTCTCTCTCTCTCTCTCTCTCTCTCTGTGTGTGTGTGTGTGTGTGTGTGTGTGTGTGTGTGTGCAAAGTGCACCGCGCTCACCACTTCTGCAAGCTCGCCGCCATGGTTGCCACAGTTGTTACCTCGCTGCGCCTGGAAGTGCATAGCTACGCTTCACCAAGCTTGCCGTGCTTTCGCCATTGTTGCCCCTCCTTTCGCCACGCTGGCCATTGCTGCGCCCAGAGGTAAGTCAATCTCTCTCTCTCTCTCTCTCT